AATCAAGACATTATCATTCTCTATATTTATATCTTCCACCAGGGATAGCAGTGGGCTGCCATTGTGTGGCGCCCAGGGAGCAGTGTGGGGTTAAGCTTCATGCTCAGCAACCCAGAGTGCCGGCTGTGGGGATCGAACCGGGTACTTGCAATCTTCTCAGAGCACAACAGCACTGCTCTAACCACTAGGCCTGCAGTCCCTTTTATTTTATTACATCACATCCCGTCCGAATAAAAATAATACCACAATTAAACATGTATAGTGTTAACATTTATAAATTTCAACCATTTGTTTGTCTATCAGGCATTAAAGATTTTTTGTTAACAGATAAGGTTATTTTTTTGCTACCAATAACTTTTCTCTTCATCTCTTGTATGTGGAGGTGTATGACCTTACAGAGATTAGCCCTTAAAAATGTTTCCAGGGTTATGGGTCTAAACCCTGAGAGCCTTTGCTGCATTCCTTCGCCTTCTTCTCTGCCACGTTTCTGACTATCCTCTGCAAAACAAAGGCCACTAATGCCTTCAAAAACTGAAATGAGAACAGTTCATGTCTAATTATGCCATAGCTGCTTTACATTAAGAGGACACCTGCCTACCAACAGAAAGAAACTCTTAAAGTCAAAGGCAGAGTGTTCCTTTGAAAGACAAAAAAACACAATATTTTTACTCTAAGAGAGGAGAGACTAATCCTTGAAAGGTTATAAACTAATATTATTTGCTGTAATTATATTACTACTAATAATAATAGCAATACTGTATGGATTAGACACAGAATAGCCTATTACTCTACTGCTGCTAAATGCTGAAACCAATAGTAGCAAGAGAAGGCTGTACAGTTGAAACTGAATTTATTAAGTATTTTTAAACATTATATAAGGTTTGCTTTGATGTTAAACATTAATTGATATATCTTTTTACAATTAAGGTTTGCTGATCACTTGTAAGATGGTCTAATACGTCTAAGTACACAGCTTTGATTAATTAATGAAGGGCATACTTTTTCCGCTTGGTATTTTTTAATATGCAGGAGCATTTCTGAGTATAAATAAATAAACCATCTTTATGGAATCTTTAATACCTATGACTATGTGTCAAACTACCGTCAAGTTTTAAAATCTTTCATCATCTGGTAGGAACCACTAAGGTTATTTGGGTAATAACTGGTATCTATCTACAGGGGGTTACTTAATGTTATTTTGTATTTTTCAGATCATGATCTCTTTTATTTTAGATAATTGAGATTATTATAAAGTTTAATTCAACAAATGTTCTGAATATAATTTACAATAAAACAGGATTGTAAATTAAGCATTTCCTTTATCTAAGTTCTATTTAAAAAAAACAACACTTTATTAGAAATCACTAGCATGACAATGTATTGCTACAAAATGTGGGACCATATTGAATCTTTTAAAAACAAATACTATTAACTTTTAGGAGTTAATGAAATTTTGGACAAGGGACAAAAAAAACAATATAAAATATTTTCTATAGCACTCAGTGTTAGAGGGCATACACTTTTTTCACAAGCTTCAGCTTCCTCTTTTGGTTGCAAACCTGCAACCGCAGATGTTCTGTCAGATACAACATACGCCCTGGAGTGGTTCTAAAGTGGTTTTTCATCCCACAGATCTATATGAGAAAATTCAGAAAAGTTCTGAAATCTCCTTCTCTGCAGAAGTAGCAGTTTCACAGTAAGATAACATGACAAACACTTCAAAACAAATGTCAAACAAAAAAGGAAACAAAAAAACGGTATCAAATCATCTCATTCAGAAAAAGACCATGAATATTCAGATGTTTTTTAACCCATGAGGATAATAAGATACAAAATTGGCAAACTGAGATGACAAAAATTACATCCCTCAAACAGAAGAGCCAATTTTACCAACATGTATTAACATTTTTCACACCAAAATACTCAACATGTTGCAAAATGGTAGATATAATAAAGTAAAACCCCAGTAAAATGAAAAGTTCATCCATCTACTACCTTTTTCTGAACAGTCTGTCAGAGAGATTTTATTTGCCAAGAAATACTGCACCCTACTGTACAAAATGTAATGTAATACTTTCACTTTAGCTTGAGGTTATGTGCCCTGATAACCTTTTAAAAGATTAAATACCCCAATAAGTCTCCAACATAACATCAACCCACACTAAGATGTACCCATTTTCCACAGAACCATGCTTCTCATTTAAAATATTCATTTTCTGAAATCATATTACTCATACTCCCAGAGTCATGCCGGCTAGAGCTCGACCACCTGCTGCGTGGAGCACGACAATGCAACCCAATGTACTGCCCTCATATTTCAATCAATAATCAGGTCGGGTTGCAATTAGCAAGTTGGAAGGGTCGCAAGAGTCACGTGACGGATCAATCGAAGGAGAAGGTGGCACACTCATTGAGGTGATTTACAGCCCAACAGTTTGTCCCACGCTCGGTCTGAATCCGTGCCGTCTATCTTCTTTATACGGACCTTTCAAGGCTGGAAATATGCATCTGTCAAATGTCCCCCATTACTCCGGCTGCCTGTCACACCTGGGGCAGCTCAGAGTCAGGCTGGGGGTGGCGGGAGGAGAAAAAAAAAAGACAGAGTGTAGCTGTCAGAACAGAAGCCTCAGTGGACTGAAAAGGCACCAGGTCTCACATTTCTCTGCTTCTAATTTCCTCAAATAGTGGATATTTTTGCAGGTCTCTGACTGAGTGCTGGGTTAATGACAGAGGCTGTCGCTGGAGCAGCTTTTTCTTTGCTCTTGATAAGATCAGACTTTGTTTTACATTAAGCTATTGTGCACCACTTCTCTAACAGCTCATACGCCACGCAGCATTAAAAAAGAAGCATTTATATTTGCTTTGTGTCTCAAAGAATATGTCATTTATAAAAACTGTAAAGCCAAGACTGCTACTGTTTTTTTTCAGAGCTGTGTGCTGAGTGGGTTTCAGCACCCTCCAAGTGGCATAAATCTCGCGACTCTGTGGACAGTCGTCTGTCTGGTAAAATGAGAACATCTTCTGTGTGGATCCTTGCCATTAAAGTGCTGTTTCAGCTCCCGCTGTTAGTATTTCCACTGCAGTGAGTCTGGATGTTCTCTCACCTCAACAACCAGTGTCTTTTCACATCACAAAGCTATTTCTCTCATTTCTCTCCGCAACCCAAGAGAGTGCAGCAAACTATGTCATGAATGAAATATAAGCACACCGCTGTATTACTTATGAGACCTAACGCAACTTTTGCTCAGAGCTATTTTCAGATTTCATTTAAATTCATCAGTGCAATGATTATTCTTACACGGCAGACGCGGCCGGTGGGGCATTGGTCCTTGAGAAAATATTAGCTAAAGATGAACTTCAGAGATTACTTATCAGCCTGGACCACCTTTTAACTGTGCAATAATTAAACATCAATCACTGTAGTAAAAGATGTCACGGAAATCCTCTCTGTGAATGAGTCACAACCACCAAATGACATGATCTACATGACAGTTATATGCTTGCTGTTGAAATTCAGATGGGAATTTGCATTGTCACTTTTAGATATTTATACATAAATGAAGAAGCATTGCTCATTGCTCAGCTCCTTCACTTATTTATAATTTCTGTAAATAAAAAAACCAAAAATGAATCTTCAAACAATAGGCTAAAATATTGTAGTTTGAAGAGGGTAATAAATACTGATAATAGAAAACTGCCAAACAATAATTTACCTTGTGGAAGGAAAAAAGTGTTTGGAGAGATATATGTGTATGAATAAAAACCTTCTCTTTTCATTATTTTTGTAAAAGACTGATAGAGAATATGCCAGATAACAGACTTAAAGGCTGGGAATGAAGGTTTCTTATCTAAAATGATATATCTATTATATATATATATATATATATATACATAAATATATATGTATATATAGAAATAACTTAGCATAGCTTTGTTTGAAAGTGAGGTAGGTTGGAGGTACACAGGTTGATGTGAAAAGTGTCTCGCATAATGGAGAACTAAGTGAACAGAGGTAGTCAAAGATGCAACACTCAAGAGGAAAGAATCATATATATATACATATGAGTAAAAGACTGAGACGTCAGTTATTCTGGCAATTTGACGAGTCAAAAACGAATAATTGAGTTTATTAAAGCAAATCTGACACAACAAGGGGAAGCATGGATCAAATGACAGTTAATAGAAAGGATAGAAACTATGTAAATGGATAAATTGTAAATTGTACTATACATAAACATAGCATTAAAAGAGAAAACATGGAAATACAAATTTGTTCTTAGACCTAAGCAACCGCTACAAAGATAAAACACAATACTGAAAAAAAAAAAAATTATATATATATATATATATATAAAACTGAGAGACAAGAATGAGAGAGAGCCAAAATAAATCTCTTTGATCAGTCTCTCTCTGGATTTAACCCTAGCTGTCTTCTGGGAGAATCTTCCTCCAGATCAATAGAGTCTACTTGTCCCCTTCCGATGTGTGAACACTTGAGCTAATGGTTGCAGCTCTTTACATACTTTCTACCACCAGCTTCAACCAATGAAAGGAACCCCACCTGCTTACCTCCCTTTATATTTCCACATTTACATTATTCTTTACTTTTTACTATGTTTATAATTAAATATAAAGCCTCCAAAGCATGCCCTAATAAAAATCTGGTATTATAAGTCTAATTCTTCCCAGCTGTCAGTGCTCCAACTTTGCAACAATGAGAGCACTTATAAAATCCGATTTCAATTGAAAAACCATAGAATTTCATGCCTTTGAGAACCACAAAGGCATGAAACAAGTTAACACGCACTGCTCCCCTTTAAAACAGTCAGAGCTGCACTTTAAATCATCACTGCAAAAACTGAGCGAGGAGAAACTACAGATGTGGAGAAATCAATTTGTGCACACTGGAAAGCATGCAATCTGGGTTACATCTGTTTGTTTGTTTTCCAGTGTGATAGACTCCCAATTTGAAGTGAACAAATAACAGAAAAGGGACTTACCTGAGCTTTTGGCGAACCTGCTGCAGTGTGTAAGAGATCCTTTCTCTCTCTGTAGGGCAGAATTACACAGAAGGAGAAAAGAGGAGGAGGAGGAGTGGAGGTAGACAGCAAAAAGAAGAGGCAAGAAAAATCTGAGAGAAGACCATGGACAACGGAGAAGGAGCGCAGACTGAGGAGGGAGCAGTGATAGTGGTGCACTCACACAGCGCACTGACACACTGAAAGGGATGTGCTGGCTCTGGGAGGTGTTACAGCTCAGTCAAATGACATCTGCCTCCCTCTAAAAACCATTGGCTAAGAGGTGTGATTTTCTAATAAGCCATCCCCACTGTCTCCAAGAGAGCACACCCACTCCTCATTTCCTACTGTATATGCATATGTAGATGTATGAAGAAACTCACAAGCCTATTTTCTTCCCTCAGCGCAGTCTACAAAGAAAGTCTCTATCAATCCTTTATCCTTACTTTCCTCTTTCATTTCTGTACTTAAGTACTCTAAGTCTCTTTATTCTCTGAGAGGGTTCACTATCGGTGGAGTTTTATTTTCCTCCATTGTTGGAGGAAAAGATGATTTGTATTGCAGCTTAAAATTGTTCTTGCAAGCAATTTTGTCTTGCTTTCAAAAACATTTCCAACATTTTTCAGTGGATTTAAAAAATATGTAGAGTCTGCTCTTAATTTATTACACTATACATAACAAATGTGCAGCCTCCATTACAACAGAGGCTATTAACTCCCTTAAAATAATGAAGTATTTAATTAAAAACTCCTACATTTATTTGTTATGTGCCCCTGATTTATTTGTTTCCTTTAAAGTTATATAGACCTTTGAATAAATATTAGGCTTGAGGTTAATTACTTTGCATCAACCATGATCACTGTCTAGCTACTGTCTCAAATGTGTGGGAGGTTAAAACTAATAAATACCCAGGTATAAATGAATTTACTGTTTAAAGTGGCATCGCTGGATAAACTCAGTAATTATGGGTAATGTGTCACCTAATTGAATTTTATTGAAAGATATTCTGGAGACTGATGTGTTTCTTATGTAAGATTATTTAAAAACCATACATATAGTGCTTTGGCTACAAACTAAAGGAGCAAAATGAGAAGGGACACCTTAAAATATTATAGAAAAGTATTTGAAAGGTTAGCAAAATAGAAATTTTAATATAGATATAATAGAAACACTGAGGGATACTCTCCTCTTGAAGGATTTATTTTTTATTTTTCACAGGGCCGAGACATAGTACAACTCACACTGTGGACAAACTCAGCACTGACCCTGACAATTAACACAGATTTATATTCATATTACATTAAATCCATGCCAGATTCAAATAACATCTTATTCAATACAAACCAATGTACAGTCATGTTTAGTAAAATAAAATTCTTTCAAAAAGATATTTCATTTCATTTCAAAAGTCCAATTCACAAAGTGAAAAACACATTTTATAGATTATTTACAGACAAACTAATGCTTACATCCAACCAAAAAACATTTGAAAACATAATTATGGGCCTAAGTAAAAGTATGTTTAAAACTGCTGTTTAAAGGTTATCATTTCTAAATGGTATTTTTAATGTGACAAAAGAAGCCAATGTTTTACTGGGTATGTCTGAATATATTATCTTTCTATATTAATGTTATGACTAATTCTTTGGAGTATTGTTGAACATACTTAACAATATAAACCTCTTGTGAAATAAAAAGCACAAACATTATGTTTAATCATACAAAAAATACTCTTGAGAGTGAATTAAATACAGAACTCAAGGACATAATAATCATAACAGCAACATCATTTTTTACCATTTCACAATTTCTTGTTTCATGCTGTAGAAGAGGTTTGATCAAGGTCCTCTCAGCTATTCACAAATCACTTTCAGCTCATGTTTGGCTAAAACTGTCCAAAATGCTTAAACCCATTATATGAGTTGTACTTAACCCAACAGCTTTTTTTTTTGACTGATTTTGAATTACATTAGAATTAAAGGACCAAATTACATATGATTATTAAATATCACTGTTGACAAACAAGTCTATTTCTTGCATTTGTAATGCACTCTATCTAAATCTTTGCTGCCTTCCCTTGGTTTGATCGTTCCTTTTCTGTTTTGACCCACTGTAGGGTAATTGGCTGTGTTGCTCATAACCTCTGAGTCCTTGTCATTCTGCCCTGACATTTTTTATACTATCCCTTCCATTGACTACAAGGGAAAAATAAAGATAATTGGGATTTTTTTTTTCTCTCTTTCTCTCTCAATGTGTCAACTAACCCCACTCTTGGAAACAAGAAACCTTTATTTGACAAGAGCCGTATAACATCTGACCCACAACACTTTTGAACAGAGTTTTTATGAACAGAATAATTCTAATTAATTTGACAGCTAAAGAGCCTTACTGCTCTTTGAGTGAATAGGTTGCAAAATATTTAGTTTCCTCAGATAGTGAAATTGCTTATTTATGAATTGGAGTGAAAAACTGTCATCCTCAAGCAGTGAAAAGAAAAAAGCGGTGCCGTCCTCCAGTGTCGTCCAATCTCATTTGTTGTCACTGAGATTCCCAGTTTAAGCTTCATGAGTGTCTTTCCTGTTCTTGAAGTTTTCTGTTACAAAAAGCGTGCACTGTGAAAATTCCTACTCGTACACAAACAGGAAGACACCCTCAGTCGCATCTGAACAGACACATACCAAATGGAATTCTAGTGATGGCAATAATCCTGACAGTAAATTCAAAAACACCCAGTGCTGCCTGTGCTGATAGCTGACTCATTGCATTTCTGCCTCGGGATGCTCTTTTCTTTCCATGGAAACATACAAAGTACTATGCCTGGCTGCCTGCAGTTTGCTATCTGATTATGCATCTTATTTAAGCTGTTCATTCCAACTCCCAATCAGGCTTTTCCATCAGGAAGTCCGTCTGTTTGGGCATGGAAGCAGTTACATTTAGATGTCAATGTCATCAAAAGGCACAATTCTCCATATGTTTTAATGATAGTTAAATGTACTTATCATTGTTACTATGGGAAATAATCTCTGTCACTCTCTTAGTGAAACTGAGCTTGCCATCTTACAGACAGCTTGTCTGTTTTAAAAATAGATTATATCACAAAATCCTTGATGTTTAGGGGGCAAATTAAGTTCATGTGTAGCTCCATGTCAAAAAATGTTAAACAGATATATAAATGTAGAACAAAATGTGGGTAATTATATAATTTAATTAGATGAAATTTTGATGAAATAATATATTTTTCATAAATTGTATTAGTCATAAAGGAAAATATGAGTGAAGATAAATAAGCTGAACAACCCCGCATCTTCACCTAATAATCGAAGGAAGTTGCCTAAACTGCCTTGACCTTTCTTATTCGGGACATTACACATGCCCCTCTCTCTCCTTCACTGTCTTACACAATTTCTTTGCTGTGAAGGCTTAGAAATCTTCACCTCAAAGATGGAGATTTTCGATACAAACCCCTGAATCATGTTTGCAAGAGGGTATTATCAGTCCATCCACCCATCTATTCAATGTCTTGTGCTTCAGACATCCTTCTGTCCAGCAGCACTCTTCCACTCACTATTAGGGTTGCCCAGGCATTTTCAGGTCAGAAGGGATCGTCCCTCAAGTGATTTCCCGATCCATCTATCTATCTCTCACCTCATCCTACCATAATCTGTAAACAAGACATAAACCACTGGCATCCCTTTTAGGGCTTAACAGGTAATATGGATGAGCTATAGTTTACATTTGAGAACAAATTTATTTACAACTTATATCAGCCAGCATGTGAATGTGTGTCTCATATGGATTTAAAAGGGTCTCAGCCTGTTTTTTGCATTTTTATTGTTTTTTTTTACACTTATGTGTCATCATCAAACCTTCAGTGGGTCTCAGTAGTGAAGTTTGTATGATAAAAAGGATAATGTGTACCTATCTTATGGAATTCAATTAGATTTTAAACAAATTTCCTTCAAGGAATTATTACCTGATCACACAAGTTTTCAAACCTAGAACTAAAACTAGAAATCTTTTTTTGATTCATTACCAGCATTTTATGTTTCTTGATTTGTCCAAATTCTCCACTGTCCCATTTAAAAACATCTTTTTTTGTTTAGATTTATATATATGCTTGGACTCGTGTGTAAAATCCGTCTTTTTATATGGCTTAAGATTCCTAGTTTGTTTCAACATCATAACAAATTCTTAATCAAGAATTTGGAAGATTTTAACAAGATGCTACTTTGAATCCCTACTTTATAGTCAACACAAATGGAGACAGGTCATCATTTGTAAAAAAAAAAAAAAAAAGAAAAAAATAAGAAAAGAAAACAGTTCTCAACTTATGTATTTGGTTAGATAAACGTTAGATAAACGTTTGGAACAATGACCGAAAGAAGATTTAAATACTGGAAACGGGTAGAATGACATTGAATGTGGTGAAAAACCTGACTCAAAGTAAATAGGCAGACTAAGGAAGGGTTCAAATTAACACAAATTTGAACACAGGAGTAAATAAGAGTCTAAGCACAAAAATGAATAATATAAAAAAGTTTTAAATATAATGAACAAAAGCAAATATATAAAAAGAATAAAATCTAAGGATCATAAAAAATGGCTTAGTCAAAAGGATAAAAAAAGGTCTAACAAATTACACTATAACCCATTATAACAGCTAAACTTGCTTTTTTCATACTACAGGTAGCTGTTAACCCAAAATAAAAATAACACAGGGCAACCAGGCTTTGGTAACTTTCAGTCCCTTCTAAAGAGATTTATTCATCTTTTGGCACAGGATATATATCAAAGTATATCCGTAACATCTTGAAATTATGTATTTATTATTAATTGGTGGGCGTCGAGAGTCATTGTTTACAGGCAATGATGTAACTTGCAGAAAATACCATTAAAAAACATTTTTCAGCTTGTTTCCTAACCATATGTGCCTCACATATAAATGCTTGTTGGCCTTGGTTGGCACAAGCTATGTTTAATATTCTGGTCAACATGAACAGGCAATTCTAGATAGATACAGTGTAGAATTAAAATTGAGCTACATTACTGGTACCGATCTGGCTTTATTAGCGGCTTTTATGGAGTGCTTAAAAATGTATGTTTTATGCAAAAAAAAGCAATTAAAATGTTCTCTGTGATTAATAATAATAATTATGAAATTTTATGCCAAAAAATTGGC